CCCCAAAACCCCAAAACCCCAAAACCCCAAAACCCCTTCATAAATTTATACTGAAAATAAGTAAAATATTTCATCCAAAATGGAAGATATGAACATGGGCCAGCTGGTCAGAATGTTACAACTTTTAAGAAGCCAAGGTGAGATTTGAGAGAGCTGTGTTGATTTTTTAGGGATACAAATGCAGATGGTAGGGGAGGATGGGTCTGAAGAGGGTGGACAAAGTGGTGAGGAAGAGGAAATAGAAGAGGGAGAGGAGCAGAGGCTTGATATTACGAATACGTTTAATTCACTTGAGTTTTATAATAAGCTTGAAGAGTATAAGCTTTCGTCGGTAAGTATTGTGCTAAATTCAAAATTTGGAAATCTTACATTTTTCTATCAAAAGTTTGCAAATATTGCTTTAAATCAAGGAAAGGTTTGAAGGATCATCCTATAGATCTCTGATAACACAATGCCACCTCTTTTGCAAAAATCTCAGCTGAATTTTAAAACTGAGAGTATCGATGAAGAAAATAAAGGTATCTTGTTGCTAAAAATAATAGAGTCTGTAACGTCACAGATAAGTATCGAAGAACAATTAGAAGAACAAGAGCTTGAAAACTCAAATGAGGGATCTCCAAAAAGTGCAAAATTTGACTTGGATAAATACATGATTTATGGTCTCAGTGAGGAGCAGAAGCAAGATCTAAGAGACACCTGGTTTAGTTCTTCAGAAGAGAATGACCAAGAGATTGAGTTCAATTTTGTTCAAACCTCAGAAGTGGTGCCAAACTCTTATGCTGGGAACCTCGGTTTGTTACATCATCTAATTCTATAGATTTCGATTATAGTAGAGTGTATAACGGAAGGTTTACTCCCAAAGGAAATCTCTATTATGGCACAAGTCAGGAGAGTATCGGGATATATGACACAGCAGATCCTTACAACTTCAAGCACATAAATGCAATTCAGGCGAGAAATATTAGATGGACAATTTCTTCTGTAGATATAACTTCTGACGAAGAGAAGCTAGCTTATAGTACACTTGGTCCAATTATTCACATTGTCGATCTATACACTCTTAGTAAGTTCCATCATGCTGTTGATCTCAGACTGGAACCAGATGGAACAATGACCCAGTCTAACTTCAGATGTGGAGGATGTAAGTTCTCAGGAGATGGAAATGAAATAGTTGCTGGAAGCTTCACAGAAGGAATAGCTGTCTATGATCTCACAAGAGAATGTAAAGTTGCCAAAATTAAGAAAGCTCACAGAGATGACATCAATAGTGTCTGATTTGCTAACAGAGAAAGCTCACATATTATCTATACTGCTAGTGATGATTGCATGATCAAGGTCTGGGATAGAAGAATTATCCAAAATAACAAGCCTATTGGATGTTTTATTGGCCATACAGAAGGACTTACTTATGTAGAATCTAGAGGAGATGAAAGATATCTTTGATCTATTTCTAAAGATCAAACTATTAAGTTATGGGACCTAAGAAAAATGAATACATTAGAAGAATACAAGAATCTTGGGAATACTTTAAGCCATTGTCATGGATTTGATTATAGAATGCATGACTATCCTCATCCTCATAATCCGAATAAACATGATATGGACTACTCTGTTTGCACATTCACTGGATTTGAATGTCTTCAGACAAATATTAGAGCATATTTCTCTCCAAAGGAAACAACAGGGCAGAGGTATATCTATACTGGAGGCTCTGATGGCTCTGTTCATATTTATGATATCCTAACAGGAGAGAACAAATGCTATGTCAGCACTGGCTCTAAATCAGTCCTAAGAGATGTATCTTGGCATCCTACTGTGCCTTTGATCGCTACTACATCTTTTGAAGGGACTATTAATTTCCTTGATTTTGACAGCCACAACGGGTACAAAACCAAAAACATTAGAAGAAAGAAAAAGGAGGCTGGATATTATAGAAGAGGCTTCTATTAACCACCAAATTGCTTTCAATTACAACTAAACTTATTGGGGTTTTGGGGTTTTGGGGTTTTGGGGTTTTGGGG